GGGATTGCTGGGAGTTTTCTTGGGGAGAGTAAACCACAGTAGTTGTTGGAGTTGACTAATGAGGTGTAGTGTGGGATCTGTCAGCGTGTGGGGGGCACGGGTGGCCCAGTTGTCTAAAGCGCCGCAGTTCGCTGTACAGAGTTGCGTCCCTTGGGCACGCCAGAAACCTATGATTGTGGGTTCGAATCCCGGTTCACCCCGATTATGTTTCTAGGTTTTGTCAGCACCATACCTGTGCTTGTGGCTTTCACCGAAGTGGTAAACATCTAAGACCTGCATCACTTCGGGCTTTCCTCCCACATTAAGCTTACAGCTGGAATACTGTTAAAAGCGGCATTAAACACAACTCACTCACTATAAGCGTGTGTTTCATCCTTGCCCAACGGCGTGGGTGCCATCTTTCCCCAGCAGCTTGAGTGTCATGTCATAGAGTGTCAAGTTGTTGTGTGTCATCAGTGTTGTGTGTATCAACAGACAAATCCCCATGGTCTACTTGTAAAGCATCCGCCCAGAATGTGGAACATCCCAGAGTGTGGAACATCCCAGAGAGTGGAACATCGGGGGTTTGATCTGCGTCCGTGTCATACCAAAAGACGTCAAAAGAAGTTACTTGTAGTTACCCTGCCTGGCTATCAGCATTAAGGACTGGTCTGCTCGGAGTCAGTATGCTGTGTCTGAGTAGGGTATTCATTCATGTTAAACTGCAGCATGGTATCTCAGTGGGCTACCACTATAAAATCGGCATTAGTCCAGACTATTACAAGCAGCCACACACAAACATACACACACATGCATGCATGTCGCGATATTAGTGTAATAATCTGGGACGTGAGGTTAAACCCCATTTCACCCCATCTCACCCATACATCAATCACTGGTTTGCCTGGTCCAGTTATGAATATATTGACATTGCCTCCGTGGTCTAGTGGTAGAGCATCTGCCCAGAGAGCAGAAGGTCCGGGGTTCGATCCCTGGCCACGTCATACCAAAAGACGTTAAAAGATGGTACTTGTTGTTACCTTGTCTGGCCCTCGGCATTAAGGGGCTAAAACAAGGACTGGTCGGCTCGGAGTCAATATACTGTGTCTGAGTGGGGTATTCATGTATGTTAAACTGCGGCATGGTATCTCAGTGAGCTAGCACTATAAATCTGCATCAGTCCGGACTTGTATAAGCAGCCACACACAAACACACACGCTATATAAGTGCAGTAATCTTGGACGCGAAGTTAAACCCAATTTCAACTCACCGACTAATATATTGATAATGTTGCTGAAATATTGCTGCAACATTGCTGACTGCGGCTTGACACTACATTCACTCCTTGAAATGATGTGACTGTTGTCAACCAACTTTTGGTGCTGTTTCAGAATGTGACGCTCAGTTGAGTTGACATATATTTGTGTTAGAGATTTGTAGCTTTGTTAAAGTTTTATGAGTTCACTGGATGTTGTTGTCCAAAACGCCACAGGTAATATACACATGTATGTTTATTGAAGGAAGATGAACGACGTCAATGTATTTCTTGTAACTGTCTACTCACTGTCAGGCACATTTACTACGAGGACCAAAAACTGTCATATGTCATGGTTCAAAGTATTCCTGAACCTATCCCATGGTCAGGATCGGGTGGTCAGGCTCGCTGACTTGGTTGATGCATGTCATCGCATCCAAATTGCATGGATCGATGTTCATGATGTTAATCACCGGATTGTCTGGTCCAGACTCCATTATTTACAGACCGCCGTCATATAGCTGGAATAATGCTGAGTGCGGCGCTAAACAACAAACAAAACAAGACCTCCGTGGTGCAGTGGAAAAAAGTATCTGCCCAGAGAGTTTGGACTCTCGAGGTGCGTTTTCTTACTGATTTCCAGTGCATCCTTAACTTATCAAAAACAATTCTCTGGCAATTGGCGTAATGTATGTTAAACATCTCTGTGGTGTTGATATACTTCTTGCAATATATGCATGTCGTGTTTTCAACACGGAACACTAACATAAGGCATAAGTGATTTACAAAATCAAAAGTATTTTTTTTGTCACAGGAAAAGTCCCATGAGATGAACTATTGATGTATACAGATGTTAGCTTTGTGTAAGTTGGCCATTGATTTATCCAATTGTTGTGATGTGAATTTGTAGTTCTTTGTTTTGTAAGTCCAAATACATCTCATTATGATGAATAAGATCATCTAAAATTATATATGCCCATCCTCTGTTCATAATTGGCTTTGTCGAAATTTAAAAGGTGTTTCCAAATATGGATTTTTGAGAATGATGTCATTGTTAAAACACATCAATGATCTTAATGAGGCTTAATTGTCCAATGAGAGATTTCTTTGTACACAAAGTCCTTTGGGAATCCTGTTTGAAACAATAAGCTGGAGTTCACCTGTAGAAATACAAGGTATTGTCACATGTATAATTGATTTCTAGATCTGTGACTGTCATGGTTGAACTACTTGAACTCCACTGTGGGACAGAATGCCTCTCTTTATGTGAAGTTCTTAAAGTGAAGCAAACAATAGCTTTGAACTGAAAAATCTATCCAACATTTCACTAATTTCACTAATTTCACTTAATGTTATGTCAAAATCAGAACAATAATTCATAGACTCAATGATTATGACAATATGATTATATGATGATATGAGAACAATAATTCATAGACTTAATGATTATGACGATATGATATGATGATGATATGATGATAATATGATGAGTTGAGACAATATCAATCATGTCCCCTTATCTTATCTATCACATACCATTGCAAAACAGGCTGTTGATGACCCAGTGGCTTAATAATGCTGCCTCTTGCAGAGTTGTCGACCTTGGCTATGCCAGGCTCTGCTGATTGTAATTTTGATTATGACTGATTATGATCCCCAGTCTGTAAGCATGTGCACCAGGCATGTTGGTTTAATCGATGGGTAACACTTCTACACATTCACTCCCACATTAGGGGCGGTCGGGTAGCCCAGTGGTTAAAGTGTTCGCTCGTCACGCCGAAGACCCGGGTTCGATTCTCGACATGGGTACAATGTGTGAAGCCCATTTCTGGTGTCCCCCGCCGTGATATTTCTGGAATATTGCTAAAAGTGGCGTAAAACCATCCTCACTCACTCACTCCCACATTAAGCTGACATGCTGTACTATACTTGACATACTTTTAAAACAAAGTAGGTGAATGTTGACTGCCTTGAAAATGATGCCATCCATGAATAATGTTAGAAGAGAATTGTCTCAGCTGTACTAGCCATTGAGCATTAACTATACAGTTTGAACTTCCTACATGTTGTGAACACCATGTGTAGGTGTCTGAGGCTGTTGTCTTCCATCTGTCCTTACTTCCTTACGTATAAGACCCATGAAGATCCGGGTTAGAATAGGTCTTCAGCAATTCATGCTTGCAATAAAAGGCGACTATGCATGTCATAAGAGGCAACAAACGGGATTGGATGGTCCGGCTCGCTGACTTTATGATGCATGTCATCCCAATTGCGTGGATCGATGCTCATAATATCAATCACTGGACTGTCTGGTCCAGACTCGATTATTTACAGACCACCATCATATAGCTGGAATATTGCTGAGTGCGGTGTAAAGCAACAAACCAACCAACTAACCTTACATATTAGAGATGCAACACAAGGGAGCTGAGTTTGGTTTGACGCAGCTTCGAGAGGTTGTGTCACAGTGAGTCAGCTGTAGGAGGGAAGTGATGCCAGTGTTCAACATTTACTACTTTGAGACTTTTACGTTAGTTTCTTGGTTTTGTTTGACATGTTTTGCCATGCTTTGGTAGGAGAGAGGTTCATTGAGGGCACCAAAAAACCTAAGTTAAGTTCCCCGGTTTGGTGCACTAGATAGAGACAGACCAATGTAGTTATCCCCTGCTGTGATATTGCTGTAATTCCACTGAAAGCTGCATTAAACCTCACTAACCCGCTCACTGACACAGGGATGAACACACATCAGGAGCATGACGAGCTATCCTGCTGTTTAAGACTCAAATGATGCCATAATTGTGACTCAAATCACAAAACCAGACGAAGTAATTCTCCAGTTTTATTGATTGGAACTGACACTGACAAAAGATGCTGGATGGTGCTATTTGATATTTTATCTCATGGTGTCATAATTTTGACTCAATTATCAAAACCAGCTGAAATATTGCTGTATCGATATGGATCTGAACTATAAATGTAAAAGGCAGCACATGATACAGTGGAAGGTATTACATGTCAAATTCTTGTCATGGTAATGAATTTATGCTCCTCTAAATTCTTTTGTCTCTTTTCATACAGTTATCCCTTCTCCCTCCCCCTGTCCCCACACTCTCCCCTCCTCCCTCCCCCCAACTCGCCATACCACACCCTTATGACATCACACAATCTTCCCTCCCCCAAACTCGACCCTCACACCCTTAAGACATCACACTCTACCCTCCCCCCTCCCCCTCCCCCCAACTCACCCCTCACACCCTTATGACATCACACACTCTTCCCTCCATCCCCACCTACCCGCCACACCACACCCTTATGACATCACACACTCTTCCCTCCCCCAAACTCGACCCTCACACCCTTAAGACATCACACTCTACCCTCCCCCCTCCCCCTCCCCCCAACTCACCCCTCACACCCTTATGACATCACACACTCTTCCCTCCATCCCCACCTACACGCCACACCACACCCTTATGACATCACACACTCTTCCCTCCCCCAAACTCGACCCTCACACCCTTAAGACATCACACTCTACCTTCCCCCCCTCCCCCTCCCCCTCCCCCTCCCCCAAACGCACCCATCACACCCTTATGACATCACACACCCTTCTCCTTATCTCTCCCCCCACCCCTCCCCACTCTCCCCTTCATCTGCCCACTTCACCAGACTACAACGCACCATACCACCCCGATGCCCTCCATGGCATCTTATTCTATTCCCCCACACTCTCCCCTCCATCCCCACTTTGTCACACCACACCTTGTCACACCACACCACACCACACCTTGTCACACCACACCACACTCTTCTTTCCATGCTCTCCCGTCATCTTCCACCTCGTCCCACCCCTAATGGCATCTGCCACGCCACGCCACGCCACCGTCATGGCATACACCACGCCACGCCCACCGTCATGGCATACGCCACGCCATGCCATGCCATGCCATGCCATGCCCACGCCACGCCCACGCCACACCACACTACTGTCATGGCATACACCACGCCACGCCACACCACCGTCATGGCATACACCACGCCACGCCACGCCACGCCACGCCACCGTCATGGCATACACCACGCCACGCCCATCATCATTGCATACACCATGCCAAATCATGCCACGCCACGCCACCGTCATGGCATACACCAAGCCACACCCACCATCCTGGCATACACCACGCCATGCCATTCCACGCCACGCCACGCCAAACCACGCCACCGTCATGGCATACACTCTTCCTCCTGGTTACCTTCCAGAATACATAAATAAATCTCAAGCTTTCACAAAACAAACCAAACTTCTAAGCTGTTCAAATTGGCCGTTGTTTATGGGTAATATTCATTTGCAATGTGCTTTGTCAGTATTCTCTGACAGTCTAGCTGACTAAGTTAATCATGTCGAGATTTAAGGCTGTACATCGCTAGAATATTTCGTCCCCTAAACTGAAGCAAGGATGTTCTGTTGGAAGAATGAGGCTCCTAGAAGTTAATTGCAAAAGTGTGATAGAAATCTATTTGCATGAATTATGTTCTGTTGTGCCAAATGTGTGGCGTAACCAACGTGACTAATTTGTACGTTTCTATAAATCTTAAGGATGAGTATCTCCCTTTGTTCTGTGGTGTCTGTCGGGGTCATTAGCAAGCTGTTACAGTAATACCAGACTCTGTAACGTCTTCATTCCGAGGCCCGGTGACATACCGGCACAGTGTTGGAAACCTTATTAGTCTCAGGCTAGACAAAAGAAAACATTCACGCTTGAGGTAGCTGGGAAAAAATGGGGAAAAAATAAGCGTGGAAAGTGTGTCTGAAAAAACACTGGGAAGTCAACGACTCGAACATGAATCAATTGGTGAAAAATGCGAGCATGAAAAATGAGCTACCTCGGATGACATTTGGGCTGCAGAGACCGGGGAGGCGGCTCGGGTTCCAGTGTGACACTCACTGGGCAGGTCCATGATGGATCGGAGGATGGAAGGAGAACAAGGAATCATTCAGGCATAGGAAATGTTGAGCGAGTCTGACGAGGGAGGGGGGGAAGGAGAGCAGACTGGGCTGAAGCTTGCACTTACTCCCCCACGTTTTTGTTGTGATACGAAAAGGATGGGGAGGACAGCCGGGTGCCGAGTGTGAATTACCTCCACAGCTCGCACTTACTGTTCCAGCTCATTTACCCAAGACAAAAGCTCCCGTTGAGGCTACTTCCAAATTGCTTTATTCAAATTCACGGGAGCGTAAATTTGTGTGAATGACTCAAATGTTGGTGTAGAGTCCCATCAAAAAATTAATGTGGCCCCCAAGAGAGCTGCGTCTTGTGTACCTACGAATTCAGGATGCCTACAGCCTTCCTGGTTGATCATGCCTCAGAAACAAAGCGATATGGTTCTGACTTTGAGAAACGACGTGATTGTAATGAGATTCGGTCCAGATTAACCTTGATGCTCAACTGAAAGAGCCCTCATAACACGTTAATGCAAAGGGGAAGAACGACTTTAATTCATTTTGAAAAACAATTGCAATAAATAGTAATTTTGCTGAAAGGGGATTTTATACTCATTCAAATAAAAGCCAGACAGGCACTTCATTGAATTAAAATTTAAGGAAATTTAATTGTTTTAGCTGTTACATTGACACTCAACTGGGGACAGACCAACCAAAATCTCTTTACTGTAAGGCAAGTTTATGACTTTGCAGTGATAATATGTACGGGGATTGTCTAGCATATTACCTGAACAGTTGGATTCAGTGACAAGCGTCCGTCTTGCCTGTGATATAAACATGATTAATGATCCTTTAGCTTGATAGCAACCTTCCAGAAATTGATCTTTAATGCACATATACAGTTAGATCAGACCGATATTGGAAAATGAGGGATTTTTTCATCTATGAATGATGAGATTCAATTAATTCTGGGGGGATTTTTTCCTCGTTTATTTTACCTTGTAATATCTTCCCTATGTCAGGAGACATGGCATCCATTAGTTGTAGATCATCACAGATGAGAGAAGTCGCAGACAGTAATCGGCAAACCGAGATTTCACTGGTGGCCCTGATAAACATCTTTTCTTTTCATTTGTTAATATTTCCCTTTGAAAGTTCAGGGCAAACAGGATTTACTACCTGATTGTGATAAAACAGTGGAAAGTGGATTGGGTGCATGCCCATAATGTCTTCCAATTGTGGATTGGATGATCAGGGAAAACTGCCTTATTTTAATGCATCTCCTTCTCAACCAGGGGCGGTCGGATAGCCTAGTGGTTAAAGCGTTCGCTCGTCACGCCGAAGACCCGGGTTCGATTCCCCACATAGGTACAATGTGTGAAGCCCATTTCTGGTGTCCCCCGCCGTGATATTGCTGGAATATTGCTAAAAGCAGCGTAAAACCATACTCATTCGCTCATTCACTCTCTCTCACTCACTCACTCACTCACTCACTCACTCTCAACCACTGGTTTGGCTGGTCCCAAGCTTGTTTAAGTCCAGCAGGGCGTCAGTCTATTATTTCTGCCAATCCCAACTGGAGTCCTGAATTCATCCAGAGCAGCTTTGCTTCTGTCACATAAGTAGTCATGCACTGTGACTTAGACTAACATTTAGTCTAGGAATTCTTATTTTACACAATATCCTTCTTGACTCTAAAAATAAAAAATAAAAATTTCCCTATACTGATTTCACTAGATGGGAGCACTGCCACTGCTAGGCTGTCATCTGAACAAGATTCTCTGATATGATAAGGAAGGGACTTAAATACTGGTCGCTTTTTCAACCAGTGCTCCCCCCCCCCCCCCCCCCCCCCCCATGACATGACTGTGGAATAGAGCCAGCTGGAGCTGGCTAGACTTGCTTTTGTATGCATTTCTAAATATTTTGTTTTCATAAAATAAATATTCTCCACAGTCATAGTGCAGGGCTAACTGTGACTGCAACATCTGAATTGTGTTAAGTTGTAGGTCTAAACACAGGCCTACTTGATAAAAAAGGTCTATCAGCATCTTCTTAAAACCAGCTAACTTGATAAGAAAGGTCTATTAACAGAATTTTAAAAATATGATTAAACAAATTATTTTGCAATAAAGATTTAATGGACTATGTTTTCTTTTACAAATATGAAATTATTAGAGAAATTTGCTTAAACAACACATTTACTTTAGACATGTACAGAATTATAACACTAAAGCTCTCAGTCCATTTGTATTGTCTTGCTTAATTATTCTTTCTATGGGACATCATTCGAAGTCAGTTTATTCCTACTAACGTTTTAGTCGCAGTATACTTGTTTATTTTAATTGGGGCTAAATTTGATGAAAATCTCTAGCTTTTAAGGGATGGCATAAATCCTGCAGGGGAACTGTGCAGGTAGCATAAGTATTGTAAGTCCCCACGGTCCCTAGTATGGTGGCCTACCTTTAGTTGCTGGCGATCCCTAGCCCCGTTTTTATAATGTATCGTTATTTATCTTTTTATGGTTCCATACTAGTCTTAAACTCAACATCTGTGATACTCTAGTTATTTTACTGTTCTTTGACGACAGGTTTTATAATAAAATTGAATGTATTATTACTGTCTAACTTGATTTAGTCATGATATGGCTGAAATATTGCCGATGTGACTATAAATATTCACTCACTCACTCACTCACTTTCTATGGGATGTCTGTCATAGAGTAGATCCTCAACACCCCCTGCTTGTTCCCCATGCTTTTATTATTGCTGGGCTATATATTGCTGGTGTGCTGCTGGGATATTGCTGATGTATTGTTGGAGTATTGCTGGGGGAATTGCTTGGGTGTTCAGGGATTTACCTGTGTTTATCAATTTTGAAGTCCATGGCATGAACATAGGGTCCAGGCTGGCGACCTGTGACACCTTCACTTGAGTTCCAATGGTTTTTTTATGTCGTATCATTGCACATGTTCAGGACCTTAAGCCTGTTATGAATGGGAATTGTAATATTACGCTGAAGTCACCCGCTGACATCCTGAACTTTTTAGTGCATTTCTTACTAGAAAAGAATTGTCAAATATGTGACAAGTGTAATGATTCCAACAGTCATACTTTTTTGTGTCGACAAGGACAATTTGCAACTTAAATGACTTTCAACCATTCTTAATTTGTATGAGTATAGGATACTGGTAGGATGTTGCTGGAATACTGGTGGAATATTGCATGACTGTAAATGGTGTAAAACTCACAATGAAAAACCACATCTCTCAACACATCACTCCACACATGGCTCCACACATCACTCCACACATCCACACATCGCTCCATGCATCGCTCCATGCATCGCTCCACACATCAGATTTGATTATTAAGCTGTCATAATTCAGCTTGAATATTGCTGTGGTGTAAATTGCATGAATGCACCCACTTAATAATATCATGGAATAAGTTTTCTTTTAATTTCAGATAATTTGAAGACTACAAGTCATTCCTCTTTCTGTCCATTTGCAAAGGATTTCTGATCGCCAGGTAAGAATTTGAGTGTTTGGGATCAAGTGAAGATTCCGGTTTCTTTGAATAGTTGATATCCTGTTTCATGACCCAAATGACATATGATTGCATCAAATTTGGAGACATTTCATACCGGAAGTCTTCCGGAATTTTATGGAATGTTTCCTCTCAGAGGGGTCAGAAGAGGGCATTTTGGAAGGCATAAAATACTATGGCAATCTCCTGTATTTATTCGGAACTTAAAACTCACAATTTTATGCAAAGTTATGTAGGCGTCACTGGTGGCGCCACACTCCTACAGTCAAGTTATCCTAATTTTTGTCTCCGATGTCATTAAAAGAGAATGAAGACGGTTTTATAGTAATGTGGTGGAAATAATTGATTTGGTTATAAACCATGATAAATTATGGAAATTTTCATAATTCGATCATTTGTATCAAGCATGCAGCATTCATTCACATGGGGTAATGAGACAGCAGACTTTATTAATGGAACTCGTTACTCCTGGGCTAAAACACTTAAAGGAGACAGGTCGAAACACTGAATTCATTACTGTGAACCTTCAAAAAATTGTAATACTCGCTTGGTGTCTGTGCACAAGTAGGTCACAATGAGAGTTTCTGATGACGGCCCATGACCCTGATGATGTGAGAGTAAATAATGTGGTCGCAGTCGGACAATAGGGAAGGGGGTTCGAGGCTATAATGACAAGAATTTATGTGATTGGTGGTTCTCCCAACCTGTCCATAAGTTGTGTTAATTATCATATCTCCC